TGCCACTCTTGCTTCCAAGCTTGTTTTAATAGGGAAGCTCCACCAAACACTGTCCACCATGGGTAACCATTATGTCATTTGATGCATCAGTGTCACAGTGTTTAGCATTACAGCAAATGCACAGACCAGTAGAATAACTTTATCCTTTTACTACTAACTTAAAGCACACTATGCTATGAAAACTGCTGAGAAGAGCGTTTTTTAAAGAATTTCTAGCACTAAATGCCATTAAGGTGATTCTAACTTCTAGCAAGGCTATGGAGCAGGGTAGAACTGCTTCCTAAGGTTTCAAAGGCTGTAAAGTTTTAGGAATGCAGAGTGCTCTATCTTCCTCCAACCAAATGGCTGATGAGTTTGAACTGCCAACCTTTTGGTTAGGAGTCGGGCAAAGGAGCTACTTGAGGACCTTCCATTAGTTTTACAAGGCTGTAAATCTTTCTCCAGTAGAACTGCTGATATAGATACAAACTGCTGACCTTTTGGTTAGCAGCCCCATACACTACATACTATGCCATAGGGCGCCTTGGATATGTACCCCAAAATCTGTGAAACAAGGTACAAGGAGTAGAGACCAGAAGAGATGTGACATTGTGAGTTCAGATTAGAACCATGCCTGGACAAAAGGTCAAGAAAAGTTAGAAGAAAATTGGGGCAAGGTGTGTCTATATTAGAAGGGTAAATACGATTTACATCAGCTGAGGGAAAGGTGGCGCGCGAACAGTCCAGGAGTTGAAAGCACAAAAAGACTAGGAAAAAACTAAACGACGTACATGAAAAATGTCACAGAAAGTCACGATCAGGTCGCAGAGGACCATAAGGGGTTATGTGAAGCAGAAGCGTGGAGAGCTGAGGCTTAGAATTAGATAAAGCTTCCTGGAATCAGTGCTGCGAACGCTGATTTGCGCGTGCAAGGGGGTGGGCGTCGGGGTAGCGGGCTGGCGGGAGTCAAGATAACGAGGTCAAGGCTCTCGCCGAACACGCCTGTGACCTCAAGGGCATCAAAGCCTAAGGACCAACTTGGTGTGGAGATGTGGTAAACGGAGGCTGAACCCAAGTGGACGTCTACACAGCTGACAACCTGTCTGGCCTCTGCATGGAACATACCTAAATGCTGCAACTCTCGGTGTCCAGCCGCGGCCTCCGCAGGTAAAGTATCGCTGTTAAGGTTTACGCAACTTCCTGTGGCGACCGAACGCAGCACCCGGAAGCAAAGACGTACGGGCCGCCGCCCTGACAATCTTGATCCTCAATCTGTTGTTGTGTAGCGTTCTCGCTCCTGCTTGCCCTTTCTCTCCAGGCTGGTTGCCAACAGGAGAGAAGGAACCACGTGCGTGCCACCGCAGAAATCCGCCAACCAAGGCGAGAACCTGTGCCGGGAGCTTGTCGCGCTGATTACCTCTGTGCACTTCCGGGCCAGCCATCCACAGAGGAGGAGGTTTCTCTCTGAAAAAGGCCCGTTGAATTCTGGGAATTGTAGTCATTGTCTTTAGAGAGGTTTGGTGCCCGGCATTCTGGAACCGGAATTTTTAAAATATTCAATCTCGGGAACTCTGGCGCCCTAGTCCGTAAAGAGTTTCGCTGCTAATCCAAAGGCTGCACCTCTCCGCTGGTTCGAATCCACCCGCAGTTCCGCGAGAGAAAGATAGGCGGTCTCCTCCGTGCGATTTACAACATCATGTCAGCTAAGAATCGAGAAGGACAGAGAGGAGTCAAAGTAGGACACACTTGGTCCTTCTCTCCGGATTAGAGAGAACCAGCCAATCCCCAGCTTGACTCCGTGACATTTAAGGGAGCAGACTTTTTCGCCGTCCTCAAGGGTGAACCGTGCGCTCCCTAGCGTCTGAAGCTGCCGTCGCCCCCAGTGTGCTGACCGAGCTCAGCTAGGAGCCGGCTGGTGGCATCGCGCCTGCAGAGGATGTGGTAGATTTGGCCAAGACTGCAGAACAGAGTTCCCTTGCTGTTAGGACTACAGCCTCTTGGTCTAGGTATAGGTTTCGCATGAACTTGATTAATCCTCAGAGGCACAGATGGTGAAGTTTCGTCTCGCATACTTTGGGGATGCCTATTAAGAAGGGCCAGTCCTTGGGAACGGAAGTCATGCTTGGATAGGTGGATGGTGAGTTGTTGTTGTTATGTGCCATCGAGTTGCTTGCCACTCACAGCGACCTTATGTACAACAGCCCTAAACTCCGCTCTGTCCTGTGCCAATCGCACCATCTCCGATACACCCATCCCAATTGCCCCAGTCACTGAATCAATCCACCTCATAGAGGGCCTTCCCCTCCCAAGCATGATGTCCCTCTCCAAGGACCAGTCCCTTCTTACAGCATGTCCAAAGTATGTTAGACGGAGCCTCAGAATCC